CGCGAATCGAACCGAGACAGTCGAACCGAACGGTTCGGACGGTTTTCATAAACCGTTCCATCCCTAAGGTGCATCCCTATGCATCATGTGAAAAACAGATGACTAGTTTAGGTCATTGCTGCAAGTTATCGTGTGATTTACTCAGTTGGGACAGTAATAGGAATAATGGTGGGCGATATAGACTTAAAACCTGATCCTGATGTTTTGAGCCGCTATAAATACACTACCCGACAGATATACTATTATGTTACTATGTACCAAAATGTTTTCGCTGCATTTTGTCCTAAAGCGAACCATACTTATCCATCTTTTTATTGGTGCTTCACAAATATCTGCCAGTTCGAACCTCTACCTCCTTTGTCATTTCTGTCAGGTGTCAGCAGACGTCCGGATGGTGCACTGTCCACATGGAGGGGAGCCTGTGGTCTTGTTTCAGGGAGGAGCAGTGAGACAGCTGGACGCCCTGCTCTCTGCTCCCCAGCAGCCCATAGAGGAGGTCCTGGTTCAGGAGGAAACCATCAGGTCCATAACTCAGAATGATTCACACATCTTGCTCATAAGAGATCACTTATCAAAACTGTTTTTACTAATAGGTAGAATAAGATCATTTCTGCTAGAAACCAGAAATGTCTGGTGTGATTTAGTCAAATTTTAAATGCAGATGGTTTTAAAGCTATAATGAGAGCTGCAGCCATTAGAATCAGATGTGTTCTGCGCCATCTTTGCTTCTTTTTGAAGGAAATCTTCAGCCTCTAAAGGTTTCGGCTCGTTTTGTTTGTAGGTGGAGTGCCAGCATAGTGGCAGAGACCCAACAGCTGATCATCTTCACAACTGAACTGGTGAGAGAAAAATCTCTAAAAGCATCATCTTAAACAGTTACTGCCCTAAACAGCTCTGTAAACATTTGAATGACATGCATATACAGCTAACTGGAATGGTATTCTTACCTGTTGAGCTTTTTCACTCATCATTTTAAATGCACAAGTATTTTGTTGCCACTTTATGCAATAGGATCACCAGGTCTTGTGTAACTGTGGGGTGAAAGATAAAAAAATGAAATTGATGCTGTGATGGTCTGTTGCTGCGATCTGTTTTTTTTTTCTTTTTTTTTTTTGTGAATTGCTCCATTTACACCACCCCTCTGAAATCGAGCCACGCTGAGTTTAGATCGAGCTTGGATCAGTTAATCGTGCCGATCTTGGTTTTTACATCCATTGACTCATCACACTAACACGGTTCCTGACCTCCTATCGGCGGTCCACGATACTACAGCTCTCAGGGTAGGAATTACGCAAACAAAAAGAGCGGTGACCATAACATTCAGGAACTTATGTGCCTGCATAGCATCCTCTGCTCCAATTTCAATGAAAGCCTCTGCTCGCCATCATCCGAGAGGCGCACCACGCTCTTTTGAAGCCATTTATTATTGATAGGCTCAAAGGAAGCTTGTGGTGTGAACAGGTGAAGAGATCTGTGAAATGCAAAGCCGGACACGCCAGGAAAGTTGAAATGCAAAGCCGGACACGCCAGGAAAGTTGCGTACTGCGCCCCGGAACGACCTCTGCACGGTTTCAAAATGGCAGTGTCCGATCCTGATAAAACCCGGGCTCTGGCAAATAAAGGACAAGGCCGCCTTTCAACAGACTCTCAGCACAGGAAACTAATTGTATTCATTTCTGGGCTTTGACTAGGCCATTCTGCTCCAGCTCTTTATGTATGTTTAGTGTTCTCCTTAGATGCCCGGTCTTTGGTGGTTTCTTTTATTATAGTTTGTGCTTTTTATTTTTGCTCAATTTATTTTCCCATCGACAATTTTCCCTGCTCTATTCTTAGTTACATCTCTGGATGTCTGCTTTAGAGTCTCCCACAGGCCGTGCCTTGTTAAGGTGGTATTAAACCCAACCAATAAATCTGCCCGCCAGATAATGCATCAGGCTCTAGTCTTTGTATCATCTGTCCGTGTTTGATCGATGGAGCGAGCAGCTCTGTCCGTTCTCTTTAAACCTCTCCAAAATGTTGCTATGTTCCTAGGTCTACATAATGCAGTTTATTCTCTGTATGTGAGACCCGAGATCGAGCTGGATGTATAGATTTTCACACAGGCTGACTGTATGTACTCTTTAGATGAATTCCAAAGAGTTGGAAAATAAAAGTCCCACTTTTTAAATGTTTGCACTGATAAAAAAATGAGAAGCATGCACATTTTTTTCTTTCATGCCACAGTTTTTACACAACTTTGAATCACACAAAGTTCTGATTAAAACATACAGTAGTCTTAATATGGCAGAAAACTGAAGGTTCCAGGGGTCTGAATACTTTGTATATACTATTCTTCATGTGGTTTTCTGTATTTTACATTTTTTCTTAACACTGTGTGCCCACAGAAAGGAGATCATTTCCTCTACCTGCAGAGAGTTAACCCCAACTCTGTGCAGAGATACCGGCTGGAGCCGGAGGGGCCCGGCCTCTCCCCGCTCAGCTTCTCTGCCTCCTACAGGGACAAAAACATCTGCCTGCTTTATCTCTGTAAGTCTTCATTTCCCTTATATATAAAAAAAATGTTTGAATGTTAGTTTTTTGTTTTTTTTAATGTCCGGATTTTGACAGCAGCTCAGCATCCAGTAGGATAACTTAGTCAGACATGTTCTTATGCTGTGTTCATGTTTCTCTATTAAGGAGGGGTTTGCAGATATATGATGATAAAAAAAAAAAACATAATTTGTCAACAAAAGGTTGTATGTAAGTGAAAAAAACGTTAACCCCCACATTAGCCGTTCTTATCCTCTTTGAATTCTGCATTAGGATAAAAATTGAATGTTTTCTCTGTTTTGATGACCAAATGCATAACTTTTTTTTGGTTTTTAATCATCTGTTGTAAGAACATACGACCAGAGGTCTGGATCTTTGTCTAGCTCTGCCAAACTTCAATCTTACCTTAATGCTTTTCTTAGAAAGCAATGCAAATGTCTGTTTGCTCACGCGCCTCCTTTAGGTCAACATTTTAGGGTTTTTAGAGACTTCTTTTAGCATCTTTAAATCCTTTTTGGAAACAAATCTGTCTATTAAGGATTTAATCACAAGTTTAAAAAAGGCAAAATTTCTTCAAAATCACGAGGGAAGATCTTGTTTTAGGTAAAGCGGATGCCATTTCCATAAGTACACTGCAAACAATATAAACCTAAATAAGTTATTTAATGTTTAATTGAGGAGGTCAGTGAGACACTTTGACAATTTACATTTAAAATAAGAAAAATCTATTTCATTGTCTTATTTCAAGTTCACATAATCTAATTATCGTATTTTAAGATTATAAATACTACTTCCATTAGCAAATCATCTCATTTACCTGCTTAAATTAAAGGTAAATGCACTAAATTTAAAACATTTTTACTTATTTCTGGATAATTTTTGCAGTGTAGAAGTAGTAAGAAAAATGGTTTAATCCCAGTTTTTGTGTCTCAGTATTTGCTCAATCTTGCAGTATAGTGAATATAATATTAAATCTGATTATGTCCAAATCTGTTAGAGGATGGTCTGTAGTTTCATTTGAATATTTGAGCAGAAGGTGCTGTGGTGTAAATCACTCCTGATTTTAACCATCTTCTATCCACAGATTCTAAAGGAACCGAGCTAATCTAGCATGGCTTCTTTTTCCGTCTCTATTAACGTAATCTCTCTTTTGCTTTCAGACCCTAAAGGTCACGTTTACCAGAGTTTGGTGTCGGTTCGCGTTCCACCAGCTGATGAAGGAGCTCCAGCCGTCCCGCTGCCTCGTCATCATCTGCTGAGTCTTCCTGTCGGCGGACAGCTGCTGGAAGCGGCGTCTGCCATCTCCCTGGACGACGCCCACATAGCCGTGGTCGGGGTTCCACATCCTTCTGCTGGGCCTGGAAAAGGTAAAGATTAATAATCACTTAGAAACAAGAGTTTGGACATTCATTCAGTCATTTCACTAATTATTGTTCTTTATTAGACTTTATTTTCCTTTCACTTTGGTGAACTAATTTTTTTTTTGGATTTTTTTTATGAACAAAATAAATGTTCCAATGGTTACCAACTATATAGCAAGTAGGGGTCTCCATTTATTGGTATCGTGATAAATTTCTATCCATGATAACAATTTAGATTTTTCGTCTAAACAAGAAATTATAATTGGTGATAATAAAAAATAAAAA